AAGAAGATTGTCTTCAATTTCGATCAAAGTCAGTCATTGAAATTCAAGAGAGAATTGGCTGCCAATCTTTGGGCTCATGGAAAGTGGAAACAAGATAGCGGCTATGAAACTCCAAAAGAACAACAAGGACATGATTATGTAGATTTTGAAGAGACTGAGTGTGAATTTTTTGATTAGATGATTCGTTGCACAAAATTTGTGAATATACATTAATTATTTTTTTAATTCAATTTTGTTTAGACAAATATGTTTGTGTCTTTTATCATGATTTTAAGTACATTTTTGTTGAAAAAACTTAAGCATGAAGTAAATGACTTCTGTTTTTAAGCTGATATTTTGGTTAAAAGTCATAACAAAAGTGTCGATTGTAGGATAAAAACTTCAGCTTATCAAGTGCTGAAGTTTTTAGAAATACACTAAAAACTTCAGCACAATGGGCTGAAGTTTATTTGAAAAAGCTTTACAACAAAACTCTTGAATCCAGGACAAAAACTTCAGCGTTTTTAGAAATACACTAAAGAAGTTCAGCACATTGGGCTGAAGTTTTTTGAAAAATCTTTACGACAAAAACTTGAGCATGTATTGGTATTTTTTTAACTTGATACTTATCTTTTTTGTATTTACTAACTACTTTTTGTCATTTATTACCTATATCACCTACTTCATCTTTCATTTAAATTTCTCTGACCATATAATAAATGAAGTTATTTTTTTACTATAGAAAAACTGTGGCCTTATTTTTTACTATTTTTTATTGCACTTACAAGCTAAAGTATTTACCATTTACTTGTTTTAGCATTTACTTATCTTGTTACATTCAATTTCTCTGAACAAAAAACAGCTAACAATCTCTTCAGCATTTATAGATATTAAATTGATATCTTTTACATTTATAGATATTAAATAGATTTAGGTGCACTCTTTGGCAATATTAACAATCTGTTCACTTGAAAATTTCATAGTCATCCATAGACTTCTATCATATTTCTTTAAATTTATATTCAAAGAAAAACAAGAAAATGTTGACAAAGACATGTTTATTGGTGTAGCAGGGAGTTCATGGGAAGCAAAGATAATGAAGGAAAAATCAAAATACTTCATATGTGAAGGAGAGTGGGCAAATCAAACACTCGAGCTCCAGGACAATTTGCTATTTTTATTAGTTGATAAATCTAACTTTTAGAAAAAAGAGCAAATTTTCTGGAGCTCGAGTTTTTGATGTTGTCACTCTCCGTCACATATGAAGTATTTTGGACTTCTCCTTCATTATCTTTGCTTCCCACGAATACCCAGCTGCACACCAGTAAGCATGTCTTTGCCAATATTTTCTTGTTTTTTTCTTATGAAAGAAGACGAAAGTTGCTAAAAAAATCATAGTAGTAAACTTCATCAAGCTGTGGCTGACAGAAAACGCTTTGGTGGAATTAAATTTGGTGAAATGGAGCGTGACTGTCTTATAGCTAATGGTGCTGCAGGGAATTTGCATGAATGCCTTTTCACACTTAGTGACTCATCTCAAAATGCAGATATGTGGGAAATGGAAGAATATGACAAATGTAATTCAGAGGTCCGTACAAGGTGGTAAAGTAAGGGGCCCGTATTGCCGCTTCTGTGAATCAATTGAAGATATAGTGAAGGTTGATGTGTATATGGTGCAAAGTTATTATGCCAGGAGCTCTTCAGCATGGGCATATTAAGTTTGACACTGAGATTTGCTAGTGTCTAGGTCCCATCTATAAGCATGAAATCATAGTAGTAAAGTTGTTATCAAAGAAGACGGGAGTTCCTAAAAAAATCATAGTAGTAAAGTTCAGTTGGAAGCGAATTTTAGAGTTCTATAACCAAAGGCATGCATTAGTATTCGACAGAGAATTGGCTGCAAATCTTTGGACTAATGGAACGTGGTTAAGAAACCCAAGAAGAGTAACTAGGACATGACTATGGAGAATATGAAGACACTTTGTGAATTTTTTGAATAGAGAATAACTTGTAAACAAAAAACTAATTTTTTCTTTTTTTTCAAGGATGTAAGTGAAAACAAAATTGGATTATGTGAATAGATGTTATTTTGTGTGAATTATGTGAAGTCTTTTAAATTTTTGGTCTATTTGCATTAATTTGTTTTTAGTTTAGTTGTATTGAATCAAATATGTTTTGTGTCTTTTTTCATGAATTTTAAGTATATTTTTGTTGAAATTCAGCATGCTAAACTTCAGGAATAACTTTTGCTTTTTAAGCTTAAGTTTTGGTTAAAAATCATAACAAAAGTATCAACAAACCTTTACGACAAAACTACTGAATCCACGACGACAAACTTCAGCTCTTAAGGTGCTGAAGTTTTTAGAAATGAACTAAATAACTTCAGCACCTTGGGCTGAAGTTTTTGAAAAAGCTTTACGACAAAACTACTGCATCCATGATGAAAAACTTCAGCTCTTAAGGTGCTGAAGTTTTTAGAAATGAACAAAACAACTTCAGCACCTTGGGCTGAAGTTTTTGAAAAGCTTTACTACAAAACTACTGAATCCACGACGAAAAATTTAGCTCTGAAGGTGCTGAAGTTTTTAAAAATGAACTAAATAACTTCAGCAGATTGGGCTGAAAATTTTTCACATAATCAATGTAAGTGCAAAAGTAACTTTTTCGGATCATTTACTATATGGTCAAACAAAATTAAATAAAAGATGAAGTAGGTGACAAAAGACAAAAAGTAACTAGTAAATGCTACTTTACTAGCTACCAAAACATGCTGAAGTTTTTAAAAATGAACGAAAAATGTTTTGGTAGCTAGTAAAGTAGCATTTACTAGTTACTTTTTGTCTTTTGTCACCTACTTCATCTTTTATTTAATTTTGTTTGACCATATAGTAAATGATCCGAAAAAGTTACTTTTGCACTTACATTGATTATGTGAAAAATTTTCAGGCTGAAGTTATTTTTTTATTATATAAAAACTGTGAGTTTATTAGGGCTGAAGTTATATTTTTTTTTGCATTTACCACATACTTGTTTTACCACCTACTTATCTTGTTTCATTCAATTTCTCTGAACGTAAAACAGTAAAAACACCTGAAAAGTTACTTTTGCATTTATAGATATTAAATTGATTAGGTGAACTCTTTGTCTATATTAACAATCTCTTCACTTGAAAATTTCACAATCATTCATAGACTTCCATCATTTTCTTTAAATTTATATTTATCCTTAGTCTTTTAGCTTTTGTTAAAGAAAAAGTGTCTGGTGCAAGCGGAAGTAGGAAGCCTAATACGGATGAAATTATGCATAAGTGGGAGACTTTGAAGTGTGAGTGGTACAATAACAAACCGATGTCTAATCTTATGCTTTTGTGGGATCAAATAAAGACTGATTGGGAGAGAATCAGACCACAGGATTTTGCCAATGAATCATTCCAGAACAGGCTTAACCTGGAACGTAGTTGTGGAGGTTATTCAACCTCGTTTGACAAGGCAGTTTGATAGTTTTAAGTTTCCCATTGGGGAAGAGTATTCCAAGCTGCAAAACAACCTGAAGACTCTTCTTTCCCTTATGGACAAAGTAATCGTTGAACAAAGTCAGCTGTGTGATGAATTCAACAAGTTGAAGAATGATCTCGTTGGACTCTGTGGTCTCTTGCCTGAGTACCCTATAGTTATCTCCGATACTGATGATGATAAGATATTTAGAGAAATTAAGGAGTACTGTGATGATGATAATGGTGATGCTTAGTGTTTGTAATCCTTTTTATATGTTTTTAATGCTGTGCTTTTTTGTTTACTTCAGCACATTCATTATAGAATATGCTAAAGTTATTAGGTTCATTTTGTATAACTTCAGCCCAGAGACGTTGAAGTTATTGTTTGTACTTTGTGTGTTGTCCTCATCTCTTTTTATATCAATGTAATTCTCATCCTCTTTCTTCTTAGCTTTATGGTGTATTATCCTTGTTATTGTTGGCATTTTCTTTTTTACTTCTAGTCAATTCTGAGTTAATACAATTAGTTGCTTTTTTGAATATGCTGAAGTTATTAAGTTCATTTTCTATAACTTCAGCCTAGAGATGCTGAAGCTTTTGATTGTACATGCGTATCTTTTGTGTGCTGTACACGTATGTATGTGTGTGTTTGTTAAGGATATGTATTTCACATACTGTAACCTAAAGTTTTTTCTCAGTGAAGTCATTGCGTACTTTTTTAAAATGCAACCAAACCTGTAAGCCTGCGCAACAAAAATGAATGATTTGTACTTTAGCAGTATATAAAATAGTCCAAGAGCTTATTTTTTTTATTCCTATGAAAAAAATCACATTTCAAATATGTTATACAATAATGAAAGTCTAAATTCAGACCACGGATTATTGAAGGGTGGAGTATTTTTCAGTGTGTTTCTTTGAATATGGATGAGGTGCTGGGGAATACAAGCAAGTTGTTCCGTTATGCCCAGCTTGTTTACATCGACTGCATTTGGTAGACTTCAATGGTACTGATTCAGTCGCAGGGATATGCCTCTTCTTTTGTCTTCTTCCTTGTAAAATCTCTACATCAGGAGGTTTTGTGATCTCAAATTGTACATTTTGTGGTATATCTCATGATTTTTGATCTCCCATAGTATTCACATGTCTTTCATATGTTTTCAACCATGTTTCATTTGAATACCAATTTGAGCAGTAATCAGATTTCTGCAAATATCTCTTATTAATAGCAGCAATTGCATGTGGACAAGACAATTCATCAAGTTGGAATTTCAGGCAGTTGCAAGTTCTCTTCTTTAAGTCTACAATGAATTCGATTACTTTACTATTTATTCTAAACAACATTGAATCAAGGTTGAATACCTAACAAGGAATAAAAAATTAAGATAAACTATATTAGTGTATTGTTGCTTCAAAAAGAAAAAGTATGAAGTTTTTTCAATGTAAGTAGTAAATCACTGCAACAGATATAAAAAGCTGAAGTTAATAAATATACTCACAAACATTTTGCAAGCCAAGTCTATCTTTTTAGTCATCTCTTCTTTTGCCCATATTGATATTCTGTGAAAGTTTCATTTGCCTTTTTTCTTCGTTCGTAAAACCACTCTCCCAACGTTTCTTGGATGAAATCTAACATTCTTAAAATAGGCATTTCTCTCCCTTTTAGTAAAACGGAATTCATTGATTCTACCATGTTTGTTGTTAGCATAGCATAACATCGCCGTGGGAACCACGATCGAGCCCATCTCTCTGGAGGCTCTTCCATTATGTAATTGTATGTTTTCTTGTCAACACTTTTGAGTTGGGACATTAACTGATTAAAATCTTCACGTTTGTATGACCTTGCAGCACTTTGAAATAGATTTATTACCGTGGCTTTTGCATGTCTTTGCTTTAAATTTTTCTCAAAGTGATAGAGGCAGATACCATGGTGAGTTTTAGGAAAAACTTTTCTAATCCCATTTGCAATCGATTGGTTTCTATCTGACAAGAAAACCAGTTCACGACGGACTTGAACTGCTTTCCTCATTTCCCCGAAGAACCAAATGTATGCCTCGTTGTTTTCTGAATCTGCTACACCAAAACATAGAGGTAAGATTTGATTGTTTGCATCCTTTGATACAACAATAAATAGAACACCACAATATTTTGACTTTAAAAACATTGCATCTACTGCAATAACGGGTCTGCAGTAGGACCAACCAGCTACTGATGCCACAGGAGCAAAGAACATGTAACCAAATCTATACAGTGAAACACAAAAAAACAAATCATAAGGTGTGAAGTTTTTCAAATAAGAACATTTGAAACTTCAGGTTGATGGTTAGTAATTTTTTGCTTACCTATTTTGCCCACATCTTTTTGTGCTCGTGTACGTTCCTGAGTTTTTGCGCACCATCATGTGCAGGTATGAAGGAAGAATCTGATAGTTCTCTTCAGGTGTTCCCCTTATGCAAGCAACAACTTTTTGAATAGCGCGCCATGCCTTGTGATAACCAATGTCAATCCCAAATTTCTTTTTCATTTCGTTTTCTACAAAGGCTGGTGTAACCTATATGTTTTTGTCTCGAACATGTTCTATAATTTGTTCACTTATAAAATTTGATGTAGCATGCTTCTGATCTGATTTTCTTGCATTAACCGAGCATTCATGGTTTTTATGATATTTTATCACCCTGAATAATGTAAATTATTTTTATTCTGGTAGCACGTACATTCCAACCACATTTGTCCACGATTCATTTCAGCTCGTATCTCTTTGAACATGATCTAACAACTCAGCTTTCTGGTTTATCTCCAAGTTGCAGAAAAATTTAGTCATATTTTGTTTATTCTCAAAAATTGATCCGACTCTTACTTCCTCAAGCAACGCATCGTGCCTAAGTATTTTACATGGTGGAGATTCTTTCAGCTTTCTCCTCACTCTTTTTCTTGATTTCTGAGAATCACTAGAATTTTCAGCAATTTCTTCAATTGTATATGATATTATCGATATAAGCTTCATGTTTACTTCATCTTCGTTGTTGCTTATCATTGAAGAAGGTAACAAAAAACTTTGTTGGATTGTGTGTTGGTTGTCAATTTGCATTATTAGCCGTCCTTCTTCTTGTTCATCGACAAACTGGTATGACTTTATTGGACGAGCGGGTAATTGTTGCAGCATTATATATTCTGAAGTAGCTGTAATGTTCTAGGTTGTTGCTCATTGTCTACTTCCATTATTGGCTGTCCTACTTCATGTTGATAATTAGCAAAAGCTTCTGAATCTATCGCATATGCAAGAGATTGTTTGAATGCTACAGATTCGTAAGGTTGTATTTTTTCGATGACGAAATGGCAATTCTTGTAGGCTGAATCAGTTGTAAGAAAATGTATACTGGTACTGAGTTCTTCATCTGAAGTTACAAGCATTCCTTTGCTTGTATTTAGTTTGATATCAAACCATACTTTTAGTGAACATCTGGTTGAATCAATATTTGCAACTTCACTAATTTTCTTCAGGAAAGTATTAAATGATATGTGCTTATTAAGTAGAACAAGTTTTGTATCATGATCCAAGTATTTGAAATCAGGAGTGCACCTCCCATTGAAAGTTATAACAATGCAAATCGAACTCATCCTGCAGATTCATGTTTAGTGGCAAGTATTAGGAAAGTGAACAGAAGAATTTTTAGGTTGTTTGTGCTGAAGTTTTTACAAATGAACTAAATCAATTAGGCATCTTCTGCTGAAGTTTTTTGAAAAAAGATGTATGACATAATTAATGAATCTTGCACAGAAAACTTCAGCTTTTTAAGTGCTGAAGTTTTTACAAATGAACTAAATCAATTAGGCATCTTCTGCTGAAGTTTTTTGAAAAAAGATGTATGACATAATTAATGAATCTTGCACAGAAAACTTCAGCTTTTTAAGTGCTGAAGTTTTTAGAAATAAACTAAATAACTTCAGCATATCAGCTGAAGTTTTTATGAAAAAGCTGTATGATAGGGATTCATGAATCCAGGGAAAAAAACTTTAGCTCATTAAGTGCTGAAGCTTTAGAAATGAACTAAATAACTTCAGCACATTGGGTTGAAGTTTAGCAAAAGAATTCAACAAACTTGAGCATGTTTCAGCATTAATTGCATAGGTTACAGGAGTAAACATAACAAACATAATTAAAGTAGTAATTATATTACGTTGGGGTATGTGTTAGTGTAATAATTACTTTCATATCACATTCATGCACGCTTTTCATTAGACAACGTTTAAAATTCCTCTTTGCCTTTTCATATACCATGCAGAAGTTTTTTTTCGCCTATATAAGGACGCTATATCTTGTGAGTTTATTCACACAAACACATATATTTTAGTAAACATAAAATACAAAAAGGAGAAATATGGATGCTGTCATCAGACAAATAGTAGACGAAATCAAGCAAGACATCATTGAGGCATTTGAGTTGAAGCTTGATGAGGTCATAGAAAAGTACGATAGGGAGCTGCAAGAAATCAATAACAAGCTTGATACGCTTGTGATGTTTGCAAGATTTGATAATTTTGCTGATGAAAGATGCTTGTCCATCTGGTAGTGACGACGATGATGATGATAATGGCATGGACGGTTAACTTTTCTTTTTTTCTATAATCCTTTTAGTTAAAGGATTATAATGTTATTTATGTAATTTATTTTATATTTTTTAATGTTTAATGAAATATTCAGTTTTTGTTTTAAGTTTTTTGTGCGTTTTTTTAATATTAATTCTATTCAAACTCAAAAAATAATAGAGGAAATAAACTAAATAACTTCAGCAGGAATTAAAAAAAACTAATCCGAAAATTAAGCATTTTTTGGTATGAAGTTTTTCAAAAATAATCATAATAAAATATACAATGCTTGACGAAAACTTCAACTCCCTTTGCTGAGTTTTCAAGCATGAACTAAAAATTCTTTTTAAACTTAGAAAATAACAGAGCTATTAACAAAAACTTATCCGAAAATTACATATTGCACGACAAAATATTAAGCATTTTTAGCAAATGAACTAAAAAAACTTTAGCATACAAAAAATTATATGAAAAATATTTTACATATTTGTGAAAACATAAGTATTTTTTGGTATGAAGTTTTTCCAAAAAAATGATAATAAAATACATAGTTTAGGAGTAAGACTTCGACTCCATTTGCTGAAGTTTTTACAGATTAATCAAAAATTTCAGCACCTGTGCTGAAGTTTTTGTGTAATGTGAAATTTTAATTTATGTTTTATTTTTTTACCAAGTGTAGGAGTAAAACTTCAGCTCTTCTTGCTGAACTTTGTAAAGATTAACTGAAAAACTTCAGCACCTATGCTGAAGTTTTTGTGCAATATGTAATTTTAATTTATGTTTTTTTACCAAGTGTAGGAGGAAAACTTCAGCTCTTCCTGCTGAAGTTTTTTAATATTTAACTAAAAAACTTCAACACCTATGCTGAAATTTTTTGTGCAATATGTAATTTTAATTTATTACTGATTTTTTGTTAGTTGGTTACGAAATCAATAGTTTTTAAAAATAGAATATAGGTTAAAATGTGACAAAAATATAGGGTACGGCTGCAAATCGCCCAATTTGTTTCGGGATTACAATTTACATTTCTCACTAGAAAATACTTATGTGCATTATTTATTAAGTTTAACCATAGTACTTCTTATAAAAATTACGAGTTCTTTGCACTTTACATCCATATCGTATTAAGTTTTTGTTTGTTAATTTAAACTTTTTCTATTTTATAATTTATATGTTAATCTATTCGTTTGATGGTAGGCTTGATACGGATATAGCTGCTTATCACCTATCTTTAGTTTCGCGTGCGATCAGACAACCAAAAATCAAACAGTGAATTGAATGCCAAAGCCTAGTTCCAACAAAAGTAGAGCTGCAGCCCCTGAGGTCCCTCATGCTAAAGCAACAGAGTAGTTGACACAATTAACCAACGGGGACCGACAGACAACTTGCTCAGTAAAGTCTTTTATCTTCCATTCAAGGGTCATGAATGGTTAACAGAAACGAAGGGTGAGTGCAACGAAAAGCGACATGTGATTGAGTGTAGATTGATCAATGACGGAACGAAAAACAAAAATTTATAATAGCTTTATCGTAGATGTTCACTTGCATCACATCATCTTCAACTAAAAGGTTCGTGAAGAAGGTTGGACAAGTGGAATGAGGAAAGTGGTTTGATCGACAAAAAAGAGGAGTAGCCTCTGTAGAGCCTGGCACAGTCATTATCATTGACTTTCTGAACAATTCTCAATCAACATATGTGATTCATTCCAGAATCATATATCCTTGTTGATTTAATGGCCAAAAAATAGCACTTCCGCCTGCGTACTCACTCTTTCATGTACAACCTCTTTTCCTGCTTTTTTCCAAGAGTGTAAGAGTTTTTTTTCTTCTTTTTGGTGTAGAGGATTAATATAATTATAAAAAGAGGGTTAAATGCAAGGAAGAAAATATATCCTTCTGATGCACCTCAACCAGGCTCTGCAAAGCAATTTTTTCATCCTAATGTCTTCTAATTTTGTATCATGTCCATATTATCTTTTCTAATAGGAGTATATTTTAGGCAAAACATATCCTTCACGGGATAGCATAGCAATGACTTATTGTCACATTAGTAACTAGTGAATTTTGCAGATGATATTTAACTATATTATTTAATCATTTTGAGGCTGGGCTGCGTTGTGATATTATTAGTCAAAGAGTAGTTGTGTATCATGTAATAGACATGTGTTTTATTTGCATTTCTGATGCTTCAATTACTAGTATTTTAGTCTAAAAAGTTAAAAATTATGTGTTGTTTCTAATAATAGGAAATAATTAACCCATGATTACTCGATAGCTTTAGCTTTGAACCGATTATTTCAGTTCTTTCTCTGAATGTATCACTTGATTCTTCAAATGTTTGGAAAAAACGTAGGGAAATCCCTCTCATTTCGATTACTATTATTTTTCTGACTGACAACGCAAAGCGCGATAGTTCAAAAAACAAATGCAATGTCCGAAGGATTCAATAAAATCCTTGCATTTACGGTGAAACTAAATGTAGTGTATCTTCCTTGACATAATATATAATGTCAAGGAATGCACATGTCACGACCCAAAATCCAACTAGTCGTGATGACACCTAACCCAACCCGTTAGGTAAACCAATTAACAGCTATCCAATTCCAATGAAATTTAATAAGACAATTAAGTAAAAGAAAATATCTAAATCGTATACATTTCCCAAGGACTGATAGTACAAATCATGAGCTTCTAAGATTAGAATTTACAAAACTGGTATGAAACAAATACATCATCTATTCGAAATGTATATAAACAGATTTTTATAAATCTAAGACTACATGAACAAGAGGCAGCTACAACCGGAACGCAGGTACATAATCAATTTCAGCTCCCGTCGATCAGAGCAACATCAACATCCAACATCTGCACGCAAGGTGCAGAAGTGTAGTATGAGTACAACCGACCCCATGTACTCAATAAGTAATAAACCTAACC